TATCTCTGAGTAGTATTGCATTTTGAACTGCTCCACGAATGCTTCCCAATACATTCACATGGCTTCTCCTCATGGCATTGTATCTGCCAACAACTTCCACCAACTTAGCACTCCAGTCTTTAGTTGTCTGACTGCAAAGGCGGTCTTTTGCTTGTCGCTACAGTCACAACTCTCAAACACCATCTCCATTTCGGAGATCCAGTCCATAATCTCAACCGGCTTCGGGCTTCCAGAAAGGCTTGGTGGCTTGGCTCCCAAGAAGTTCTTATACATTCGTCCATCCTTGTTAGTTCCCCTCTCCGAACCATTCCTTCGTTCTCCTTGAGTCCCAACTTGACTCACATGACGGCTATAGTTCCCTTCCTCCGATTGCTGGGAATCAGCTCAGGTTGCTCAATGGGCATGGTAGGTTCGTCCCTATTTTCATGTAACATCCTCCTCATTTCTTCCCTTTGTTCAGCTAACATAGCCCGAATCATGGCTTGTACTCAAGCCATGGTGATTGGTTCAGGTGTAGCTTCTACAACAACAAGTATTTGCTCAATCACTGGGGGCTGTTGATTCCTATTTCCATTTGCGTTCCCGACTCCACTTCGGGTTCTTGCCATTTCGATGTATACACCAATTCAGACGTTCGGTGTGTAATGATGAGAAATAAGATAGGAAAGATTTTATTTACAATCGACGTGTAAATTTCCCTATCACTCTGAAAAGTTACATGCCAGTTCTAATACCGTAATTATACGTTTAGAAATCTGAACACATAAAGTTTCCAGATCCGGTCGGCAATAGACCATAGATTCAATCATATAATGCATATCATAAATCATTTAGCACATAAAAGCATATTAGGCATTTTCCCTAGATAAGCTAGTGCTTGTGTCTATTTAGGTGTACTTCCTAAAATATATTAGACACACTCCTCACGATCATCGCTTAGCATTCTAAGTTTAAGTCTAGAAATAAATCCATATTCTTAGTTCGCTTAAACTAATGCTCTGATACCAACTGTGACATCCCCATTTTCACGGCCAGAAAAGACCGATTTTTGTTTATGCTTTATAAAAATCAGAGTACTTCTTTTAATAAAAATGTTGCGGAATTTGTTTCCAGTAAAACATGATAAATACGTTATCAAAGCATTTCCGAATAAATGTATTTTTATTCATTTTTAAAACATTTGGGATGTCATCGTCAATATAGAAACATAAGCATAAACAGAACTTACATTCATTTACACTAGTGATCTACATCTCTTTTAAATCTCTCAGTGTAATGTAACTTCATATCGGCACCTGTGATAGAAATAAGCTGGAGTGGGTCAGGTTGAGAAACCTGGTGAGTACATAGGGTTTTCAACCCACAATAATATAATTATTATGTTTAAACATCAAACAATCAACTCAATTACCCATCCCCATTATCTTCTTTATTCTTAAGGATCTACCATAAGAATCAACTATTCCTCGTTCATTCATTCTTAAGGATCATCATAAGGAATCGACACGAAGTCCATCATCACCGGGGTTTAGGCACTAAGTCTGCATAGTCGCCAGGATTTATACAACAGGCACTAAGTCCACATAGTCGCCAGGGTTTAGGCACTAAGTCTGCATAGTCGTCAGGGTTTATACAACAGGCACTAAGTCCGCATAGTCGCCAGGGTTTTTTTTTGGCACCAAGTCTGCATGATCGCCAAGGTTTAGGCACCAAGTCTGCATGATCGTCAGGGTTTAGAGTACACCGGGTGAACACATCGTTCACAACACCTACAGGTTGCGAGCCTGCTAGTGTTCCACTGGACTGTCTAGAATAGTCCGTGGTTGTAATCCATACTCTGCTAGATGACGGGGCCAGCATTTGGGAACAAGGCTTCTCATATCGTCCACCTCTCACCCTTACCTCATGGTCTATATGACCTCTCAACTCATCATCCAACTCATATTTCATCTACCGATGTTTTACCCAACATATTATGTAGATATAAATACATATACAGTTTAAATCATATAAAACTTGTATAAAATCGTTCATCCAGCATAGATAGCAAGTATATAGATAATATGCACACATATTCGTGTTTCAGGGCTAAGCATTATTAGATGATCTAATAGTCTAGGTCAACTATTGTAAATCTTTTTGAAGTAATATAGACGAATTATTTGAGTATTACATGAATTATGTGAATTTATGTGCTTTATACTTAATTATAAAGATATAATTAATAAAGAATAAAAATAAGCGTCAAAATTAAAGTGTGATATCAACCCGATATCTTTACATAAAGTTGTAGTGGTCGAAAAAAGGATTCCGGCTATATAAAGAACGCCTAAATCCGAGCTATAACGAAGAAGTTATGGTCTGTCGAAGTTTTACGGCAAAACCGGCACGACACCGGGAGACGTAAAAAGTGAATTTACGATAGAGCGACTTTTAGCCTTAGCTATCTAAACGAAATACGTAGAATATGTTAAACCGAGAACATTCATAAACAGAACGCTCAAATCTGACTTCGTATGAGGAAGTTATGTGATGATATATGGTCCATTAGCATGGCCTAGACTGATTTAGAGCGCCAGCCTGGCCTGGCGCGCTCCTGCCAGCTCTGCCTGGCGTTCCCTTGCCAGCCTTGCTGGGGACTCCCTTGCCAGCCCTGCTGGGGACTCTCCTGCCGGCCTGGCCAGACGCTCCCTCGCCTGGCGCTCCCCTGCCATCCTTTCCTGGTGCGCGCCCGCCAGCCTTGCCTGGGGCGCGCCCGCCAGCCCCGTCCGGCGCCTCCGGGCGGCCTTGCCCAACTCCTTGCTAGTTGGGCCTGAATTGGGTTGGCCCAAGGGCTGACCCAATTTCCCTTGACCTAATTGTCCACTATAAATAGAATAGTGTATCCTCTATGAAGGAGGACTCTTTCCCAAGTGGTTCAGCCACCACTAGGACTAGGACTCTTTCCCAAGTGGTTCAGCCACCACTAAGACCTCTCCTAGACCTTTTCCCCAAGGTTCTTCCCCCATGGCTCAGCCGCCATTATACTCCGGCAGGGTGGCTCAGCCGCCACCCGCCGCCGTCAGCCACCATACACCACCACCAGCACCAAGATGGTTCTCTCCAGCTATGGAGGACCATCTCAGATCTTCTAGCTGATCTAACTTGACCGTCGGAGCCCGCTCCCGGGGCACAGTCCCTGGGGCGGCTCTAACGATTTTGCACTGTGATGTCCAGATCTCCGCCCCAACAAAAGACCAAAAGAATCGCCGGAGGTCGATATCGCATCATTTGGCGCCATCCAGGATCCGAGCAAGTAGCAAAAGCCTCAGTCAGTTTCAAGCTCATTCTTCCTCAGATCTGATGTGTTTTCATCTCAGGTTTCCTCAAATCTGTTAATTTCTAGTATCATTTGTTCAGATCTGTGTGTTTCCTGACAAGATCTGATCAAATTTGTTTCACCATCTCTTAGATCTGTAGATCCATCATGTTTTTTAGTTCAGATCTATGGATCTATATGATTTCCTTCACTCAAACACTCCCCAAGTGTGCACAAATCTTCTTAGAATCATTTTTTGGCTCATATCCTGGGGATTTGTTGAGTAGGATGAAGAGAGAGAAATTTTCATGAGTTTCTACCTCATTTTGAGCTCATATATTATCAGAAAATCGTTTTCAGTTAACATTTTCTATGAACAACTTTATTATTTGCATCAGCTACTTGTAAGCACAGCTGAGATGTTTGTGCATTTCAAAAACAAAAAAAATGAGTTTTTACACCATTTTTTGTTCATATTTTTGGTGTTTTTTTTTTAGAAGCTTAGAGATAGAAAACGAAATTTTTTCCAGATCTGTTCTTGCTCACATCTTGAGAAGATAAGAAAGTTTATGGGAAGAAAACCCTATCAAATTCGTTTTTCTTTTGGTGTCTTTCCAGCAAGTTTGATCAGAAAAGAAATTTTGTTGATTATTTAATGTTTCCTTCAAAGGCTAAAGAAGGAAAACGAATTTTTTCAGATCTGTAGATTTGCCCTTGTTTTTGTTCATTCAAACATCTTTCAAGCTTACACAAAACCCTATCAGATCCGTTTTTAAGTTATATCTCGGGGTTTTCTTCAGCAAGTTTGAAAAACGATTTTTAGTTTATATGTTAAAGAAAAACGATTTTTATCCAGATTTTATGCACAAAACTTCAATCTCTGAAACATTTATTTGTACATACAGCCATATGGCTTGTACATTTTACAAAAACCTTCAAAAAAAATCCCTTAAGCTCATGATATCCTGTGAAAATTCTATCCTGAAATTATTTTCTTGTACACATAGCTGTGTACACTGTACATGTCACAGAAACCCACAAAATCGTTAATCCTTTCTCACTAAACCCATTAGGTTATATTTTATAATTTTTACCTCAAAAATATACCCTGGCCTTTTCATAGTTTACTGCAGTAAAAAAAAATATGGTTAGATATGGTTCTTTCGAGCCAACATTTTGAGCCAACAGCAAAAACAAGAAAAGGGGAACTTTTTAGTTACCATTTCAGTCAATGGTTTCCAACAAAAAAAAAGAGATATCCAACCAATACAACCAAGAACGGAAAGTCTAAAAAGAATGAAAATGTATACAGCTCATTTCAAGCAAAAAGAAAAAGGTTATAGTAAACAGCAAAAGAAAAAGGTTACAAGACTTTTACAGTTTGTTTCCTTTCAACCGACAAAAGGGGAAGGGTGTACAGGTTGTACACCATAAGCCAAAAGTTAAAAACCCGTGTCCAACGCTCGATGAGCAGAGAAGACAAAAGTCGGGGCCCGCCCAGTCAACACGTTTCTTGGCAGTCAACAAAACTCCTCATCAACAATTGCAATTGCCGGTCAATGCTAGCGCCACCGGTCAGCCCGATAACAACAGCTCTAGCGTCAGGCATCGCTGCGCCACCTCCGTTCTACCTTCAAAAATGGTGACCCAGCAGACCAGCCACTCCTAGAAGTCGATTACTGATTCCAACTTTCTTCCCTGGATGACTGAAAGACCAGCACCCTTGCAAAAACCAGCTCCAAGGGTGGTGGTGCCAAAGGGATCGAAATCGCAAGCTCAGCTCAATGCACCTCAAGATGATCTCAGCCAAAGCCCCATGTTCTCCCAACCACCACTCGTTGGCCACCGGAAACAACAGCCGAAACCCTCACAACAAATTAACGCAGCCAACAACCGCCGCTCTTCACCTACTGTTCCGATCTCCCTTACACACGACGCAAATGGAACCACACCACCACCTCCTGCCGATCGTTGTCATCCTTATCGGACCACCTGTAATCGCCGATTGCTTTCAATGGCGACCCAACAACCCTCCGAAATTGACGAATTAGTGTCTTGATTCTACTCCACAACCCTGATAAGCAGCGCCTACCGGTTACCTGTTTTCTCGATCCGCCGCCGCCTGTTACGCCCTCACCACCCGATGACCACAATAGCTTCTATGTCGGCCGTTATCGCCTTCAGACCACCTACCATCGCCAATCGCGGATGTCATCCATCATCGCCAACTGGAACCAAGGATCGCCAGTCAACACCTTCTATGGCCGTCGTCGGCTATTTGTCCGTCGGCACCGTGACCTCCGGTCGGCGATCGGTGTTTTCTTCTCTTTGGCATCCTCACGGCAGATAGTGAAAAGAGGAGGGAGACGCAGCTACTGAACTGACGTGTTTTCTCAATCGATAAGGAAAAAAGGGCGGATCCCACAAATTCCATTTTGGCTCCCACACGTCCAGCAACTTTAGATTGGGCTGTTAATTTGGACCCATATTTATTTTGGGTTGTTCCAGCAAAGCAAAAAAAAAAAGAGGGAAATATGGATTGGGCTAAAAACTATTCTTCAAGTGGGCTCTAACATATTTTGGGCTTATTCGCAAATGGGCTAAACAACTTTATTTTAGGCTCATAAATGGACTATCTCAACAACAAATAGCCCACCAGCTTTACAAAAAAAAAATCAGCCATATAAATACTCGCGCACCACAAGCTCTGCTCAACGGAAGGCGTTGCGACTCGAGCCCTCACGAAAAAAAAAGGAGGGAGAAGAGTAGTGCATCACTACTACTACTACTCATGAAGCGTTTAGAAACAATCGTGACGAGCAATATGAATCGATTTATTATTTCAAGAAAAAATACTAACTGTTTGATCGAGTTGTCCTTTCAGATAGTTGCTCCAGCGCTGCGATACTCAGAGTGCGCCAACAACAAACTCGTGGAGCGAAGCTCGGTCTGTAAAGCATTTACAGGGGACTTGTGAAGTGTGAACCGCTGACCAGTCACTCAAAGTTCTCATCTAGCGGGCATAGAAATATAACTCAACGTTTCGAAAAAAATGGGGGAGAGAGAAGAGTAGTACATTACTACTACTACTCGTGAAGCGTTTCGAAATATCCATTAGTAACTGCGTTGCGCGGTCATCAACAACCGTGTTGACCAATCCCGGGAAGTCTCGATAATCAACTCTCACATTCATGTTGACCGACCCCTGCTAGTCTTACTGCCCAGCTCTTAGTAGTCGCACAGCTCGACCTTCAGCAGCGACACGACCTAGCTCAGCAGCTGCAAAGCCCAACCATCAGCAGCTACTTTATCTAACTCCCAGCAGTCGCGCTGCTTAGCTCTCGCCAGCCATGCTACCCAGTTTTATTAGTACTTGGGTTGCCTAGCTCTTTCCAGTAGCTATGTATCTCAACTTTCCCTTTCTTTGCCTCCTCTAAGAAAAAAAAAAGAGGGGGGGGGGGGGGGAAGGGCTGGTACGACACTATGCAGAAGTGATTTTCATTCCGAAGGGGCAGAGTTAAGGTACATAAAGAACTGACACCATGATGATAGTGAACTCCCAAGGTGACATTAATATTCCGAGTTGGAAGATCAGCCCCGTCATTCAACCCTCGGTAGTCTCGTTGCCCAGCTTTCAGCAGTCGTGCTGCTCATCTATCGCTAGCAGCTCGGTGCTCAGTTCCTAGCGGCCCCGATGACCAGCCCTCGACGGCGGTCTCGCTACACACCACTTGACGGTAGCTACACTATCCAGCTCTAAGTAGCATCCCCGCATAGCCCTCGACAAACAGTCAAGACACCGAGGCATCAATTATTAGTACGACTAGCAATGCAGCAAAGCATCAGGTACCATTCCACTCTAACCCAAACTGATCACACGAGCTAGACGCATAGATTGTGGGGTGCTACGCCCAATCATGCGAGGTTCAGTACCCTCGCCTCAAGTCGCCTGGCTTCTCAGCCCGACTCCATTATAGCGGCAAGCACCGCATGCGAGATTCAGTACCCTCGCCTCGAGTCGCCTCGCTTCTCAGCCCGACTCCATTATAGCGGCAAGCTCCGCATGCGAGGTTCAGTACCCTCGCCTCGAGTCGCCTGGCTTCTCAGCCCGACTCCATTATAGCGGCACGCTCCGCATACGAGGTTTAGTACCCTCGCCTCGAGTCGCCTGGCTTCTCAGCCCGACTCCATTATAGCAACTTGCTCCGACCATTCCGCGCGACGCTCTTTTGTGTGATCTATCTACGATCGCTGGCAGCCAAGCCCGATCCATTCCATGCGACGCTCTTCCGCGTGAGTTATCTACGATCGCTAGCAACCTAATCGCACAACTCTCGGAATATCTGCCACTTATATTATGGTCAACAACCTTACGATTTATTGGTTTGACAACATAGTCTGATGCGGCTACCTACGCTACCCACATCAGACTGGGGGAAACCAGCTAGGTGTAGCCCAAGCAAGAAATACCTTCAAGGCGGTTATTAATGGAGACTATGTAGATGGATATCGGTGACATTTTATATGCGCATGACTACCACAACAATCATGTAGAATAACAGTCTCAGAGACTGAATGGCGAACTTACACTCCTTAGCTACCCCGACCCGACATTTTATCGACATCAGTGTCATGTAACACTCTTTAGCGGCCTCGGTCCGCATAATCACAGTAACAGTTACGTTGCATCGCACCGACCGGCTCACACTCCTCTCAACGAAGGAGTATCAAGCCAGCTCAAGCCACATAAGCAATGCTTGGTTCATCGCACAACCCCACGGCTCTCGTGGGCGAGGTTCGGTCGTTCTCTCTATTATTTAATGTATTGGTGCTTTATCTAGTCCGATCTGATTCTCAGCAACCCAATCGCATCAGACTAGGAGGGCTTGACGACGCACAATTTATATGACTAGTTCCAGTCCGATGTCATTGTCGTGTACCAATAACATCAGACTGGCGGGGCTTGATGATATATGGTCCATTAGCATGGCCTAGACTGATCTAGAGCGCCAGCCTGGCCTGGCGCGCTCCTGCCAGCCCTGCCTGGCGTTCCCTTGCCAGCCTTGCTGGGGACTCCCTTGCCAGCCCTGCTGGGGACTCTCCTGCCGGCCTGGCCAGGCGCTCCCTCGCCTGGCGCTCCCCTGCCATACTTTCCTGGTGCGCGCCCCGCCAGCCTTGCCTGGGGCGCGCCCGCCAGCCCCGCCCGGCGCCTCCGGGCGGCCTTGCCCAACTCCTTGCTAGTTGGGCCTGAATTGGGCTGGCCCAAGGGCTGACCCAATTTCCCTTGACCTAATTGTCCACTATAAATAGAATAGTGCCTCCTCCATGAAGGAGGACTCTTTCCCAAGTGGTTCAACCACCACTAGGACTAGGACTCTTTCCCAAGTGGTTCAGCCACCACTAAGACCTCTCCTAGACCTTTTCCCCAAGGTTCTTCCCCCATGGATCAGCCGCCACTATACTCCGGCAGGGTGGCTCAGCCGCCACCCGCCGCCGTCAGCCACCATACACCACCACCAGCACCAAGATGGTTCTCTCCAGCTATGGAGGACCATCTCAGATCTTCTAGCTGATCTAACTTGACCGTCGGAGCCCGCTCCCGGGGCACAGTCCCTGGGGCGGCTCTAACGATTTTGCACTGTGATGTCCAGATCTACGCCGCAGCAGAAGACCAGAAGAATCGCCGGAGGTCGATGTCGCAACATTATGAATTTTCTAAGATTCGACATAGCAGTGCACGGCCCGAAACTCAAATTTTATTTCGAGCGGTTTTTGGCCTACGCGACCTAAATGAGAGTTGAAGATCTCATTAATAGGAACTCAAAGGTAAAAAGACAGACAAAAACGGAGTCCGTATGTAGAAGTTATGAATTTTACACGGTCGTTTAGCAGTGTAATCTTCTCATACTGTTAAATTTAAAATCGGTCGAGAATTAGCCCATGGAGTCTAAATAAAAGTTGTAGAGCATGTTCCCACCTACGCGTGAATATAAATAACGTCGAAAACGGAGCTCGTATGCGAAACTTACGGGGTTTAGAAATCGGCAGGGTGCTGCATCGAAATGGGTGACGTGGCACAATGTAGGCCACCCACGTTCTGCCACCAGAATGGTGACACCTGGCCATGGACTCGACGAGTTGGAGGCCAACTCGACGAGTTGGGCTGCTAGCCAGCCTATAAATAGAGGTGTGGAGGCAACTCGTTTCTCACACCTTTAACCCACTTCTTTCTCTCTCTAAACACTCTCTAACACCCCCAAACCCCCCAAAAAGCCTAGGAATACCTCCTAGCATTAGAAGAAAGCCTCGGAGAGCCCGAAGGCTCCAAGAAAAAGAGTTTTTCGGTTTGAAACTCTGCCCGCGCGGAGCCCGGTTTTCAACCAAACTTCCCGGTTTCGTCAAAGAAGATTATTTTTAGAAGCGAGGTGTTGTCCGAATCACTCTGTATCAGGTGAGTGTATAGTCACTTTCATCTTACACATAGATATGAAGTATTTTATATAAATTATGTGTTATGTGTATATATATATGTTATCTGTTTACCTGAGATGTTTGCTGGATGAAAGATCTATACTTCTTTCTTTCAGATCTGAAACTTTTTCCTTCAGATCTACACTTTTTCATCTCAGATCTAAACTTTTTCTTCATATATAAACTGTATACTTTGAGATCTATGTTGGATGAAAGATCTGAACTTCTTTCTTTCAGATCTGAAACTTTTTCCTTCAGATCTACACTTTCTCATCTCAGATCTAAACTTTTTCTTCAGATCTAAACTGTGTACTTTAAGATCTATGTTGGATGAAAGATCTGAACTTCTTTCCTTCAGATCTGAACTTTTTCTTCAGATCTAGACCGTATATGTATTTTATGCTTTGAAAGTTATGTTGGATAAAAGATGTAAGCTTTGTTTTACAGATCTGGACCATGTATGTATTTTATATCTACAAATATGTTGGGTACAACATGGGTAGATGAAATAGTTGGTGTGTGGTGAAATAAAATGATGAGAGGCCTCAATGTTGATGTTGTTCCAATCATCTAGCGGAGTATGGATGA